CAATTTCCAATTTAAATATCATAATGACCCTAGGTAACTACAGGCACGCACAGATGGGCACTTATTAAGGATGTACTCTGTGCCAGGCACCATCCCAGCCTCCCCACAAGCATTCACCAGTTTAATCCTCATAATGACCCTCTGAGGTGGGGAGAAGAGGCTTGTGGTAGGCAGAACAAGCGCACCCCAAAGATGTCCGTGTCCTATGTCACCCAGAACCTGGATGCCCGTGTCACTTGCAACCGGTGAGTGTGTTACCTACATGGCAAAGGGATCTTTGAAGATATACGATTAACGAAGGATTTGGAGATTGGGGGATTAACCTGGATTAACCAGATGGGCCCAAAGTAATGAAAAAAAGCTTCTATAGGAGAAAGAAGAAGGCAGAAGAGTCAGAGTCAGAGTCTGCGAAGATATGACGATGGAAGCACAGCAGAGAGATTTTCAGATGCTCTGGTTCTGAGGATGGAGAGGGGTCCGAAGTCAAGGATGGGAGCAGCCTCCAGAAGCTGGATAAGGCAAGGAAGAGATTTTCCTCTAGTGCCTTCAGAAAGAAGGCAGCTCTGACATCTTGATTTGTGTCCCAGTGAGACCTATTTCATGGACTTCTGACCTCAGAACTGTGAAACAATGAATCTGTGTTGCTCTAAGCGACCCAGTTTGTGGTAATTTGTTACAGCAGCAGCATCAGGAAAGGAATATAGGCTGTTTCCATGAGAGAAGGAGTCAGAGGGAAGACTGGACCGAATTCCCAGGGGTGTGCAATTAGAGGGGTGTGTGTGCGTGTCACACTGACTCGGAAACAACTGGGGAGAAGAGAGATATCCGGACCCAGGAGCAGGCTGGTGCTCGTGCAGTGGGGGACCTCCTGGAAGCCCTTCCATGTTTAGAAAAGTTACTCAGCTCCTAAGGCGGTGCTTATGACTGGCTTTGGCTCCAACCCAATATTGAAGGAGTTAAGCTTCCTACTTGGGTTTGATGTACTTAGAACTGAAGCAGCACTAACAAAGAGCAAAGCAAGTGGCCTATGAAGGAACATTACAGTAAATATTCAGTATATTCAGAGTCAGCTTAACTATACACCACACAGACACAAAAAATCAAGTGTCTCATAAAGGGCTATCACACAGCCAAGGGCTCCGTGCAAGGACTGTTTACACTGCTCTATTAACGTGCCAGCTCTTTCACGTCCCACCCACATGAAGAGTAACAGCAGCTGAGGGCAGCTGGCACTGGCTAAGCTAGCCGACGCCACGTGCCACCGCTCACGCTCCAAGGGGCAGTCACACCTGTGTCCCACCTGCAGGGCGTCCTCTGCCTCGCTGTGGCTTCTTCGTGTGCCAGTAACTTTGGTTTTGGTCTGTCCTTCCTGCTATCACTTGGGATACACAATGTGGCTTGTTATCTCATAATCCCTCTGCCCGGACCCATGGGTGATTCCAGACGGGAATCCGTCTGGCAAACGATTCTGATCCACCTGAGCAGGGAGGCTCTTCTGGGAAGGAGTCTGCCAGGCTGCGCGGTTAGCACCAAATCTGCTGATGAGAGTGGGAAGCTGATGATTTTCCCACCAATTTCCTTCCGACCCTTTTGCTTCTGAATTTTGAATAATGCTGTTAAGAAAAATTATTCCAAACTCAAAAAACAGGGAAAGGGGTTGCTTCTTCAAGGCAAGCTGGAATTGGCTAGCAGAGCCACATCCCCCAGGGATTATCTGATTTTCTAGGGATGTTTACCTTTGTCTGACTCCCTCTTCACTGTTATTTTATTGGGTTGGCCAAAAAATTCACTTGGGTCTTTCCATAAGATGGTATGGAAAAACATGAATGAATGCTTTGGCCAACCCAATACAACTCTGCTAGGGTACCAAAGAAGGGGTTAACTTACAGACAATGCAGAGCAACACAAAAGCTTTTTGTCTGAGAGCGACACAAATGACTCTGGGGCAAAGACGATGCAAATGACTTCTGACTCACAAAGAAGACTCCCCAAAACTAGGTTTATGCCTTGCAGGTCACTAAGCAGTTTTGATTCTATCAGCAAATACATTTCACATGCCTCGGACTCTATAAATTGTCCTTCCTTGACATCTCATTTGAACCAGTCTTAACATACAGCTGGTTCTCTTGTTAATGAGTGAGCTGAATAAAATCTTTGACACATGTGCATTTTATATTTGTATGGGAGTCATGTTTCTAACTTTTGAAAATTATTCTTTAACAACACAACGATATGTCCAACACAACAACAGCATGGTCTGTTGAAGTCAGCACCTTGGACAGGTACTTCTGTCTCGCACCACTCCTCACCTAACCAGCTTCTGGGCATAGGAACAGCTATGGTGTGTTAAGAAATTAAACTGATCCAAGAGAGTCTACAGTGGTTAAAAATTAGTATGACTTGACTCCACAAAGTTCTCACTTTCAATGTATCCCAAATGTTAATGGGGACTGAATACTTAAAAAAAAAAGATTAACAACACTGTATTTTAAACAACCAATATTTTTAAAATATCCTCAGTTTAAAGATGAGAGTGGGTTAGGGATTGTATACTTTGTACAGAGGTTCTCAGTGTGGTTCATAAACCTCTGGAGTCCCAGAGAGCACTACAAGGGGTTGGCAGGTCAAAACTATATTCATAGTAATCATAACACAAGGGTAAAACATTCATTCAAAGGGTAAAATAGACCAAAAAAAAAAATCTTAATATAACAAGGGTGCAAAAAGCTCAGTGATATTTAGATTCAACATTGCAACTAACCTTTAAGAACCCACCACTTGCTGAGTTTTGGTATCGTATTAAAGGAGGACATTCATAATTATCTGAAGTGATTATTAAAATACTCCTCTATTAGCAGGCTTAGTTTATTAGTTCTTCTGGTATTTACCATTATAACTTTATGTAATAAAACTGTACCACTTTAAGTTTGATTACTATCTTTAGATGATTCTGCTGACCCTCTGCCATGTAATATGAGATACTGAGCGTGATCATACAGTCTTTCTCGCACGAGACTCCTCTTCTAGTTTCTGCAACCTTTGTCCTTAGCTTTAATAGCTACATTTCAACTTAAAAAAAAACAGACATAAATCTCTAATTTAAAAAAAAAGACATAAATCTCTAATTCTCCTTCTATGGCTCCTTGTTATGAAGTATGTAGGGATCATCTCTCACTTGCTTCTACTTCTCTTCCCCAATTCCACCTCCTGATTTTTGTTAGCTAGATTACTTTTTATGTTGTCAGGGTTTAAGAAAATTCATGTTATCCTGATATTCTAAACTGAGCCTTCTCCATGAGTCGCTATACTGATTCTAAAATTTTTTTAATTGAAAACATAACGAAATTGATACAGGCACTATGGAGAACAGTATGGAGATTCCTTAAATAACTAGGAATAAAACCACCATATGACCCAGGAATCCCACTACTAGGCATACACCCTGAGGAAACCGCAACTGAAAAAGACACGTGTACCTCAATGTTCATTGCAGCTCTATTTACAACAGCTAGGACATGGAAGTAACTTAGACGTCCATTGACAGATGAACGGATAAAGAAGCAGTGGTATATGTATACAATGAAATTTTTTCAGCCATAAAAAGGAACACATTTGAGTCAGTCTTAATGAGGTGGATGAACACAGAATCTGTCATGCAGAGTGAAGTGAGTCAGAAAGAGAAAAATAAAATATCGCATACTAATGCATTATATATGGAATCTAGAAAGATGGTACTGTTGAACCAATCTGCAGAACAGCAATGGAGACACAGACATAGAGAACAGACTTAGGAACAAGGCTGAGTGGGGACGAAGGAGAGGGTAGGAGGTATGAAGAGCGTAACATGGAAACATACATTACCACATGTAAAACAGACAGCCAACGGGAATTTGCCATTTGACTCAGGGAACTCAAACTGGGGCTCCATAACAACCTAGAGGGGTGGGATGGAGAGGGAGGTGGGAGGGGTGTTCAAGTGGGAGGGGTAAACCTATGGCTGACTCATGTTGATGTTTGGTAGAAATCAACACAATACTGTAAAGCAATTATCCATCAGTTAAAAACAAAATACTTTTTAAAAGAAGAAAGAAAAGGAGAGAAAACTGAACAAAAAACCCCATAAAAACCATAATGATTAAAAGCATATTCTGTTATGATGGGAATGTTTTCTATCTAGATTGTCCAGCACTAGCTACCAGCATCTGAATGTGACTTGTATGTGATCTGAATTTTTAATACTGTTTTAATCTTCAGTTCAGTTCAGTTGCTAAGTTGTGTCCAACTCTTTGTGACCCCATGAACCTCAACATGCCAGGCCTCCCTGTCCATCACCAACTCCCAGAGTCCACCCAAACCCATGTCCATTGAGTCGGTGATGCCATCCAACCATCTTATCCTCTGCTGTCCCCTTCTCCTCCTGCCTTCAATATTTCCCAGCATCAGGGTCTTTTCAAATGAGTCAGCTCTTCGCATCAGGTGGCCAACGTATTGGAGTTTCAGCTTCAGCATCAGTCCTTCCAATGAACACCCAGGACTGATATCCTTTAGTATGGACTGATTGGATCTCCTTGCAGTCCAAGGGACTCTCAAGAGTCTTCTCCAACACCACAGTTTAAAAGCATCAATTTTTCAATCTTAATTACTTTAAATTTCAATAACCACGTGCAGCTAATAGCCATCATCATATTGGACACTGCAGTTCTAGGCCACACGGGGATACTATTTCTCTCATTTCCCACCATCTAAGGCTTATCTTATCATGGGGTTTCTGGGTGGCTCATGGTAAAGAATCCATTTGCCAATGCAGGAGATGGAGGAGACGCAGGTTCAATCCCTTTGTGGGAAAGATCCCCTGGAGGAGGAAATGGCAACTCACTTCAGTATTCTTGCCTGGGAAATCCCATGGACAGAGGAGCCTGGTGGGCTATAGACCGTGGGGTCACAAATGGATCGGACACAACTTAGTAACTAAACAATAACAACAACAAACTTTAACTTACCTCCTTTTGATAGGCCAGTCCAGCTTCATAGAGTTTAATAAAGAGATACTGAGTCCATTTGTAGTAATCTGGTAAACACGTCGTTATTTCCTGCCAAAGAGGGGTAAAATTATGTATGGGCCACTGTAAACATTCCCTCTCCCAACATATGGATCACCTTTGAATTCAATTTTGAAGAGCAATCACTCTGCAAAAATATTTATTAATCTATAGTATTTTTATCGATTTGTGAAGTAAGGGAAGAAGCAATTTATTCTAGGAAGAGAGATGTTATTGAAATGCCAACCTCCTAAGCAACCTTTCCCAGGGCCTGTTTAATGATGAGAAACTTGATTTAAGTCTTCTGCATGGCCCCATGCATGCAAGTAACAGCTGAATTACACTGTACAGGCTTGAGTACTCCCTTTCTGTCAGTATAAAAGTATTTGGGGGCCATGGAGCTAATTCATAAATGTAGTTCATTTTGGAAGCAATCACAAAATTCAAGAGGAATATTTGCTAGCTTCAGTATGATCCTCACTGGAAAACAAACCCGTGTTTCTAGATACAACTGGGGCTTGATAGCTCTTTTAGACTCATTATATTCCATTTATCCCATTATGTGAATCACGCTGGACTCTACTTAGGAAGGCCCATTAGAAACGTTATCAAATACTGTTAATAAACTTAGTGAAAAACCACCTGGTTTGTATTTCCAAGCTTAAATCGAATGTTCCCAAAATGTATTTTCTGTCCTGAGAACACATGTGCTATAGAATCTGTAAAATCAGGTTGTTAATTAACCAGCTGATACGGTTTAATTAATTAATTAACCAATAAGGTTTGCAGTTGAGGAAGCCATAAGCATAAAAACCTCTACATTGTCACACTGTTTCCCTCCTAGGGCTCTTGTTTCACTGCAAAGGAGAGCTAACAGAGAAATGGATGTAGGGCAGGGGACATTCCAGATGGTTCATTTGTCATGGACGACTGACAGAAGGCATACTTCTATCAAAAGAGCAATTGATCCAGTCTTTCTCCAGATGAGGGTAAGGGTGGCAGGAACTGAGCAAGCTGGCAGGTAAACTCCTGCTGTCCCCCATGGGTGATGTTCCTCATGGAAGATTCCTGGGTCCTTTTTAACGTTGTTTTGTAACAACAGCAGAGTAATAACCACCAGGAAACAAATAACCCTGATCACAGGTTCCACTCGCCCCTACAAGGCAGGGAGTGAATAGCCAGCCAGTCTAACAACTCTGCCCACACTGTAGCTCGCCCCTGCCAACGCTGAAGCCAGAAGCACACACAGGCCACACCAGCTCCCGAGGCGCCATGGACATCGAGTCTGAAGAGCATGGGACACAAAGTACTTCAGTGCCACAAGAACCAGACCAGCACACTGTGGGTGGGTTCGCTCCCTCAAACCTCCAAATTCATCCTCATCCCATCATATTTTCCTCACCAGCCAGCCCTCCCCCACCCCCGCAAGCTTGGGGCAGAGCTCATTTTCCTGATAAGCAACTTAAGAACTTCCATTTCTGACAAAACCCAGGGCAGGGGCTATGTTTGGTCTGGTTCATTTTGCTCATCATGTATGCTCAGGTCTCAAAACAGCAAGGCACCCCCAAATTGATGTTGAACGAAACTAAATAGACATAGGAATGTCAAATTAAATTTGTATCCCTCATCGAAGTTTCATAAACTGAACTCAAATTACACGGGTCCACAAGATGAACTAGAATAGCAAACAGGGTGGGGGTAAGGGGGAGGTGGTGGGAAAAGTCCCAGACCTTGTTACGGTAGATATGCTTTTTAAAATTGTTATCCATTAGAGGTCTAAAGAAACAGGTGAAGCAAACACGACGAAATAATGACAACTGTTAAATCTAGTGACTGGGCTCGTTTCTCTGTTTTTCTATATATTTAAGTTTTTCAAAATATCAAAATACTCCTAATGAATATGTGTATGTAGGCATGTATATACATATATATTTCCTTGGCCCCTGGATCTGCTTTCATAGACAGAGAGTAAAAATTACATAGCCATGGAACAGCATGATAATCTTCTCTTAGGTTTGTGGTTTGGAAAACTGCTTTTATCTAAAATAGAAAAAAAAGATGATAGAACCAGTCGGGGGCGGGGGGGAAAGATCATTATCCAACCAAATATTAGGCTACTTTCAGTCAGATGGGTGATGCAAACTGCATTGTCTTGGGAAGTGTCAGCTCCCAGGTGAGACAGGGGGTAGGACGTATGGACCCCTCCTCCCCTCTGCCTTCAAGCTTTCATTCTGCCTTCTGCCTGTTTCATATATATTGCATTTCTATGAAACATGTCATTTAAAAAAAAAAAATTTGAAGATAAAAAATCACATCCGCTGCTAATAGTACAGCCTGAAAACCATGGCTCCAGGATGGACATTCTAATCCCAGCAGAACTGCTTCAACACAGGGCTGCCTCACTGGCACTGTCTCCCCTCCTGAGATGTTGGCGCCTCCTGCCTAGAGGAGGCTGGGGACAGGAACATCGCCCCTGCCCATGGATTTCCACCTGCTGCACACAGGGCCCGGCATGACCCTCAGTACTGCCACTCCATGAAGAAATGCCCGGGCAGACGTGCAGTCTCACAGGAACCACACTAAGTGTGGTGGCCGGGGGAGACCTGCTTGGAAATGCATTTCCTGAAACAAAGAACCTTTCCGGAACCTCCGTCCCTCTGCTCTGCTGACTTGAAGGGAACAAAAAGCCAAGAAAATCCAAACAGCTGCTTCCAGTCTCCCAATGCCTCATCCCAGTAAAAATCATTAAAGGTACCTTTCTGAAATTAAACTGCTTAAAAGCTTTAACTGTAGTCAACTGGCTAGAAAATGAGACTCCTTTCCCACGTTTTGGGAACTAGTTATTTGAAACCCAGCCCTGCAGATGAAGGTCTTCTGGGGGGGTCCGCGTCCACAGAGATGTGAAAAGGCTTCCTGCCTCTTCCTGGAGCAGCGAGTCTCAATGGGGACACTTCTGCTCCCCAGGTAATGACTGGAGACAGGCAGCATGTGACAACTGTGACGGGGCTGGGGCTGGGGGACGTCTTAACGGCATCTACTGGGTGGAGGCCAGGGATGCTGCTGAAACCCTACAGAGCACAAGACAGCCCCTTGAACAGAAAATTATCCAGCCCCAAACGTCAATAACGCCAAGGTGAGAAACCCTACTCGAAGGATTTTGATCTTCTTAGCTTGAGTCTGCAACCATAGACGGATTAAGAGGAATGAGCAAGCAGTTCTCTAGAGGGCGGTCCATAAAAGTGATCAGATGTCCCTGGCAAAAGCAGAAACAGGACTAAGCTAGCTTAGAGAACTCGCCCGCGGGGCTGACCCCATCTCCCTGAGCAGCAGCGCAGGTGGGGGTGCTGCTCGCTGTGGCCGCCGGTCCTTCCACCAACGCTGAGCCTAGGCAGAGGGGAGGCCTGGCCAGTGTGGGGAGCCGGCAGACACGGCTCTGAAATTGTTAGGTGTGCACGATGCTACTCACGGGGAGTGACTGACTTTACCATCTAAAATTTAAATCATTCAATATGCCTCAGAGTAGCTGTCTGACTTGGGAAAATCGGTAAAAAATTCATGTAATAAATTTCCCACTTTGAAGTTAGAGGGGCACACGGTTGTTCTTGATGCAACATCAGTTCATCCCCACCTGTGAAAGAGATGTCGAACGGACAGATGGTTAAAGGTCACCCGCTGGACTCCAGCCCACAGCACCCAAATGTGCAGGCCCAGCCCTGCCTGTCCTCCAAAGGGGAGCTTCTGCCTGGGGGCAGGGGTTCTCGTCCCTGAGCTGTGGATGGTGCCGGCTCGGAAATAAGACTTCTCTGCGGGGCCACCGGGGCCCTCACACGAGGGCTGTTCCCTGTGTCCCAAGTCCCTTTTCTCTCCTGTGCCTTTCTTGCTCTGCTTTCCGAATAAGCCCACTCCATGCAAAACACCCTTGTGTTTAGAACAAAAAGTCAGGCAATTCAAAGTTATAGCTCCAGAAGCAATGGCAATTCAGCCATACTCCACATGTATCTATATAAAGATGTCAACTTTTATAACCCCCTGGGCTCTGCAAAGTGCAATCCAGCTGCCAAGAGACCAAATTTATGCATCTAGAATTTCAACAAGTCTCATTCCGCCACACTGCAGTTTTTACATTCAGCAATACCTGGCTTTTGGCATTAGAAATATTTTGCACATTCACGGCCAAACCCGAGGCCCAGAGGAGAAGGTGACACTCCCTCAACACGCGCGAGGATCGAAATGTCCTCCCTTGAGGCTGGTCACCCACACCTCAGTGATGCACAGATCAATAACCCAGCCGGCCTTGCCGGGACCGCCCTGCACACAGTGACTCGACAAGGGCCGGAGAAGCCCGAGTCCCAGAGGCCCAGCTGACCTTTTTGGAGAGGAAAACAGTGCTTGGTCTGTGAGGGTGACTGGCTCCTGTGGACCTCAGGCTGACCTTCCTTGCTCCAGGGAAAGAGGGAGAGAGAGAGTGAGCCAAGGGAAAGACAACCCACTCGGCAGCCGTGTGTCGGGGTTCCAGTCCTTGCACCACCATCAGCACGTGGCCACAGTCAGGCGCCCGTGTCCAGGTGAGAGGGGCGGCGAGGGCCGTCGGAGGGGCCTCGGGACAAACGCGGCGATGCGAGTGAGGCAGACGCCGGGCACAAGTGAGGGTCGACGGTGCTGCCCGCTGCTTGATTCAGACTGTGTCGTCACGGAGTGAGGCCGGCTCGGTCACCACACCCCTCAGAGGCGGCTGATGCCCTCAGGGGGCTGCTGAACGGCGTGGGAGGGAGAGCAGCGGGCTTGGGTCAGAAGGATCTGCGCTCACCATCCCTCACCAAACACTGGCTTTCGGACCGAAAAGAGATTGTGTTCGTGAGGGAGAGACCGAACCACGGGACCCAGGCAGGGAAATCCATACAAGACTGCTCCCAGCCGCCTCCGGCGGCAACGCCCGCCTCACGGGGAGGCAGAGGGGTCGCCTCTGAACCCCCTTCAGCTTCAGACCCCCTTCAGTCGGGTCTGTGTCTCTTGATCCCACTGCACTTTTGACAGTGATGGGTCCCAGATCA